CCTCAAGCCCCATGCACAAGGCGGAGTTGAGGATGGGGGTGTTGGGGTGGTGCTGGCTCCCTGAGAATTTTTCCATACTGGACAAATCCATCCCCAGGCCCCTGAATCACTCATGATGGTCCAGCTGTTCACTTTACTTCTGACCAAGTCCTTTATTTAATAATAATAATAATGTGTGTGTGTGTGTGTGTGTGTGTGTGTCTCTGTCTGTGTGCTGGTCCTGGGGCTTGAACTTGGGGCCTTAGGGGCTGTCTCTGAACAGTTTTTTGCTTAAAGAGGGGCCCAGGGTCTCACGCATGCTCAGCACACACATCACTGACCACCAGCTCACCTTTGGGTTTTGTCTATGGACAGGATCAGCCCTGGCTTCTCCGAGGTCATTCTTGCAGAAGAAAGCAAACAAGAGGTTACGAATACGGAATCCCAGAGGAGGACTTTAGCCGGTGTGGTTGGGAGAGGGGCCAAGTTGGAAGAAGCTGGGGACCAGTGGTGCAGGCAGCGGGGCCTGCAAGGGCAAAGGCCCTGGGGTGTAATGTAAGTAAGCTTAGGATGGTACAAAAGCACAAAGAAGGTTCTGGGGCTGGAGACCAGATGGGAAAGGAGGAGGGAGGAATGCTGGGAGTGAGTAGGGACTGGTTCAGACTGCATTAGATGGACTTTTTTTTCGGGGTGTGGGGGGGAGGTTGGTCCTGGGGCTTGAACTCTGGGCCTGGGCGCTGTCCCTCAGCTCTTCAGCTCAAGGCCAGCGCTCTACCACTTGAGCCACAGCGCCACTTCTGGTTTTCTGGTGGTTTATTGGAGATAAGAGTCTCACAGCCTTTCCTGCCTGGGTTGGCTTTGAACCGTGATCCTCAGATCTCAGTCTCCTGAGAAGCTAGGATGACAGGCGTGAGCCACCAGCGCCCAGCTCCTCAGATTTCAGAGCTCCAATTATGTACTGAAAAGTCGGAAGTGGAGCTATGGCTCAAGTGGTAGAGCACCAGTCTTTTTTTTTTTTTTTGTCGGTCGTGGGGCTTGAACTCTGGGCCTGGGCGCTGTCCCTCAGCTCTTCAGCTCAAGGTGAGCGCTCTA